GTTTGCAAGATTAACTCAGTTCCTGCTGCTGTCCTGGCAGCAGAATGGCCAGAGCAGTTTGGTGACTGGACTGAAATTTTCCTGCGGGAATCATGTAACTGTGCAGCTGTGGAAACAAAACTCCACTCCCCCTCCGTCGGTTTTGTGACAGCTTTTTCTGTAGCACAGTTTGAAGAGTCGAGAGCCCTGCTTCTGAGACAGAGAAGTGTTTTCACACCTGACGTGTAATTTCACACCTTGTGTTTCTCAGCAGATAAGTGCATAAAATAACACATCAAACCGGAATAGAAAAAAGATCAACACAGAAAGAAAACTACAGGTTGTAATTTGTTTCCGATCTTACAATGCTCTTGGAGAGAACAGTAAATTACAGAGATCTGGGTTTACACGGAAAAAAGTTTGCCTGGTTGTTAGGTGGGAAAGTAAACACTAATCAGCCTGACAACGGCATTGGACAGAATGTACAGAATGATTGGATTGAGGAAACACCCTCACATGTAGATGTTTGCTGTCTAGAACACATATCAGTTCGTGATGAAAACTGCAGAGGGAATAGTCAAGAAATGACTAAATTCAGTGATTAAAAAATAATCATAAATATGATTTGTAATGATTGTCTTTGTGATCATTTATTCAGGAGTTTTAGTAAGTATAGTCAAATATGTTGGCAGAGTTTAGATTTTTAAATATACATAAAGGACTGCACCTCTGATAGTAGTCATTATTTTATAGCCGTCTAGAGCAGAAGTTATAAACCAGGAGTTTAGCTTCATTTGCATATTTGAAAGCAGAAGATTAAAAGAAACAAAGTTGAACTCTTCCACTAGTCACCAACATCCATTATGACATATTTTATAAAGGTCTACCCCGTGGTGGTTCACATATTTTATAACCAGAGTGCTCCCTAGAAGTGATGGCGACAGCTCACTCGCTTTGGACCTGTCCCTGGAAAAGATCACTGGCTAGAGACGGACGCCATGGTTGATGAAATGCAAGGACAGAAGAGGAGAGCGGCCCCCTTGGTGAGATGGATTGACCCAGTGCTCGAAACCATGGACTCCAACATAGCAACTGTGTTAGTCTGGGTAGACTAGAGAAACAAATTCACAGACAATCCTATGTGTATAAGAAAGAGCTTTATATGCAAGAGCAGTTGTATGTTTAATCAGTGCTATACTGCACCGACTGGCTCGTCTCTTCCTTGTGACCCTTCTGCAAGGGGGTGTCCAATTGTCTACAGATAGGCTTTGGGTCTCCGCTCTGCACTCTCTCTCATTCACATTGATATGATTTTTTTGTTCTGGGTCTTTGATGCCTGATACTGGTCTCATCAACACCTCATGATCGCACAGGCTGGTGTGCTTCTTCCATGTGGACTCTGTTGCTTCTGAGCTAGATGGATGCTTGTTTGTCTTCAAGCCTTTAAGACACAAGATGCTATATCTTTTGATAGCTGGGCACCATCAGCTTTCCTCACCACATTTGCTATGCACCCATTTGTCTTCATCAATCATGTGGGGAAGGTGCACATCACAGAATGCCGGATTATTAGAACAAAGTGTTCTTGCATTGAGGGAGTACTTGACTAGAGGCCCAACATCCATCTGCTACTTTGATACTTAAGATATAAATATATGTATGTCGATCTATTTCCGTATCGTTATGTATAACTATATTTACATGTGTACATGACTGTATTTAGACCTCTATAAATGCCCTTTACCTCCTAGTTCTTTCCTCTATTTCCTTTTACTTTCCTCTTGTCCCACTATCATGTTTGGCCTTTATTCGGGTTTCAGTAATTCTTCCCGGTTACACTGCCTTTGATCAAG